GGCTATTTTCTAACTAAAGGTTGAATTCTGCGCTACCTATTCTTCAATGGCTGGTAAACAGTAAGGAATCTGCCATTGTTCCATTTAGAAGGTTCCCTCAGTAATGTATCTTGCTTCTATTTCCATTCCTTTTGGGTACCGTTTTATCTTTTCTTGAGCAGTATTTGCCATTAGGGTTAAGTGACGTGAGAAAACATCCCATAAATTGCATTCTACTATGGTCGTTAGAAGGTTCTATTCCTTATTCTACAAGAACAGGTTTGTAGGTTTAATTTGGCCTGCTTCCTTAGTCACGATGGTCTATTTTTATGGCGATTTTCTTCTTTAGTTTATATCTGCTAAGGAGAGGATCTTGTTCTACCATGTTTTACATGCTCCCATCTTGATCTCTTCTCGTTATTTCTTCATAGTGAGGATTAGAGTTTGGAGATTCGGAATAACATTAAAAAATATTTTGTAAAAATAGATATTCAATATCGATCTGAACCGCACACACAATTACACACATACCTTATACACACAGACCCAGCCACAATTACAGATTTATTAAGACTATCGGTCTTATACAGATTCACTGCAATAAGGAAGGATAGATGGAGCTCCTATAATTATAGTTTCTCTTTCAAATTTATTTCTCGTAAAATTATTGCTCTGATTAATCATGATGGCCTTTTGTTAATTGAAATTATCTTCTTTAGTTTATCTGCTTTGGAGAGGGTCTTGTTCTTCCATGTTCTATCAGCTTTCTCCTCATTATATATTCTCGTTATTTCTTCATAATGGGAATCAGTTTTTCAGATTGTGCAATATATCCATTTGATCCACACACACAATGTAGTTTCTTTTTTTCTCGTGAAAAATGATTGCTCTAATAGGTTTGGAATCGTTCACAATCGATTGAATCACAACCTAAATTTCTGACGTTTCATGACGATTGAAATAAAGACATATCTTCAGGATGATTTTAAGCAATTTTATTCATAATAATTCAGCCATATTTATATCAAATGAAAGCTGGGTAGTTAGAAGTGTTGTGTGTTTAGTGTTGGAAGTGATCTATATGATTTCGAACAAATTTGTTCTTTAACGGTTTAAAGAGATACAACGCTATAAACCCGTATAGCGTATTGAAGAGATTCATGCTTGGAAACTTCCATCACTTTCTAAAATAAATGATACGCTTTAACTAACAGCCAATGGGAGCTTAATCATCTTATAGAGAAACATATTGCTAGAGCTGTTTCAAGATCAAGCCATTTTAAAAAAATAGGATGTATCCGTGTTTCTTTTAGAGATCTCTTTTATGAGCTTCAACTGCAATAATGATAACAAACTATTCTGTTTTCATTACACGCAATAATAATTGCTCTTCTTTAGAGTACACGTTCTTCATCCTGCCAACCTGCGAGGTACAGCAGTGAGAGAATGAGGAGTTAAATAAAAGAATTGTTGCTAAATACTCACATATTGATTAACAATTATTCTATCAATTATATGACAACCAGAATTGTCAGTAACTCTTATTTTTACAATGAATATGTTAAAACTTATGGAATATATTTATAAATATATTTTATTCTGTTGATACTATTTATTACTTAAGATATTAAGGACTCTAGCACACTAATCTGAAAACAATCCCATTGTTGGGTGTCAACAAGTAGCCGACCGATGGTACACGGGAGCAGTAAAAATTATTTAATTTTTGTTTATTTTTAATTACTTACTTATCAGAGAAACTGCACCAGAGAGATGACGGGGATAAATTGTATTTGACCATTGACCACCATTTCGTAATGTGTTAAATACAACGTGCCAATTATAAATTAGGTTTCGTCCTGTTTTGATTTCGACCCGGCGATTAGAAATGTCCAGTTACAGCTCCAACCCCTCCTACAACCGGCCCGGCGAGACCCCGAACATCATGACATTCCTGGACTGGACCATGAGTCCAGCACTGCACCAAATAAACCTTCTGAGTAGTACATCCCCGCCTTTGTCTCATCAATATATTTGTTGAATTTTAAAAAATGATAGAGATCAAAATTTTGTTTAGATATGTGCTCTACTAATCTTTATATAATGTATTTCCTCTAAGTGCACTTTTATTTTATATAAACAAGATTGTGCAAACAGAATATCATTAAATATTTTTAAAATAAGTATTGTATTTTATTTTACTAATATTAACCTATTACTAGCTCATTGTTGTTGTTGTTGTCGTGTCCAATGAAGAGTCTCGGATGTCTCCATGCATCTCCATCACAGCAGCAGCAATATCCACTATCTTGGGTGTGTAAAGCTGCTGCTCTGGGTCTAAGTCAATTTTCTGCAAGGCTGCGGTCATACTAGCTCATTATTGAATATATATGAAAATTTGGCTTAATATATAATCAATCAGTATTTTAAAAATATTATCATCGGTTATATAATTTTGGTATACCTGTGTAGTAACCTTTGTTTTAAAACAATATTGGCTGGGAAAACATTATCTAGGACAGACGTAACGAGGTCATTTAGAGAGAGAAAGTTCTTATATAATAACCCATTTAATTCATAACATTAAAAAACCAAGCGTGTCAGCACATGTTTTATCAATTGAAGACATATATCGTTTGATATTAAATATCTCTAATAAAATTGTTTTATCTTCAGTAATAATGTTATTTAAAAATGGTTATTACCCAATAATTTTATCGTATTAAGAACTTCTGCATGTATAATGTATTTTATAGGACAATTAAGGGTTCAATCAGGATTACGTCATAGATTTACAGCATAGTCGTTACTTCCTGTATCGACAAGAATGTTGAGGTAATTGCCCTTCCTCACAATTGTTGCCCAATGTTCCACCTGATTACCTCGGGCATAATGACAGTCAGAACGTGTCGTGATTCATGTCATTCTTCGGTCATTCTTCTTTTTCGACAATGAGTACAAAGATTGATCGCTTTCTTGAGAATTGAACAAATCCTCAAATTATTCCGAAAAATAATTTCAACTGAAGGATGTCTTGACCGAAAGCTTGTACCATGTTGTTGTTGTCGTGTCCAATGAAAACCTTCAGATGTCACCATGCATCTCTATCACAGCAATGTCCACTATATTGGTTGTGTATACTGTATTGTTGTTGTTGTCGTGTCCAATGAAAACCTTCAGATGTCACCATGCATCTCTATCACAGCAATGTCCACTATATTGGTTGTGTATACTGTATTGTTGTTGTTGTCGTGTCCAATGAAAACCTTCAGATGTCACCATGCATCTCTATCACAGCAATGTCCACTATATTGGTTGTGTATACTGTATTGTTGTTGTTGTCGTGTCCAATGAAAAGCCTCAGATGTCTCCATACATCTCTATCACAGCAATGTCCACTATCTTGGGTGTGTATACTGTATTGTTGTTGTTGTCGTGTCCAATGAAAAGCCTAAGATGTCTCCATATATCTCTATCACAGCAATGTCCACTATCTTGGGTGTGTATACTGTATTGTTGTTGTTGTCGTGTCCAATGAAAAGCCTCAGATGTCTCCATACATCTCTATCACAGCAATGTCCACTATCTTGGGTGTGTACACGGTATTGTTGTTGTTGTCGTGTCCAATGAAAAGCCTCAGATGTCTCCATACATCTCTATCACAGCAATGTCCACTATTTTGGGTGTGTATACTGTATTGTTGTTGTTGTCGTGTCCAATGAAAAGCCTCAGATGTCTCCATACATCTCTATCACAGCAATGTCCACTATCTTGGGTGTGTATACTGTATTATTGTTGTTGTCGTGTCCAATGAAAAGCCTCAGATGTCTCCATGCATCTCTATCACAGCAGTCGCAATGTCCACTATCTTGGGTGTGTAAAGCTGCTACTCTGAGTCCATATCAACTTTTACTGCAAGGTTGCGGCCAATGCTAGGCATGAGAATATATGGTTAGGTGTTAGTTCCACACCAGGACAGTTTTTGCATGTCCTATAGGTTCTTGTGCCATCTGGATCAATTGTCATTCCTTTGTAGTGTTTTGTTCAGAGTATTGTTATGGTTTTTGTAATTATTCTCTCAGAGTTTATTTCAGGGGGGGGGGGGAGAAGTCCGACCACACCTCCCTGCGGTCCCCCCTGGACCCTTGGAATATTCGTCCAAATTCTGGTTCGTTTCCAAGGTGACTAACGTGGCAACGGCACCCATTTTCCAATGAAGAGATTGTAAGATCGTCCTTATGTAAAAAGAAGCTCTTCTCCTCTACTTTTCCTCTTCTTATAAAGTTCGAGTTGTTCTGAGCGCTATATATATGGGAATAAAAACCTCTTTGTTATAACATTTCAAAATGAATTCAAAATGAAAGAATAATGAGAGTGCATATAAAATAGAAAATATGTTAGCAAAATCAATTTAGAAAAAAATAGTACAAAAGTGAAATGATAGTCAGAGCATCTCCTGATCGTGTGTGTAACTGAAAGCTGCTGATGTCATCAATTGGAATAAATATCAATCGATCGCATTATGTGTGTGTGATTTCTAATTATTACAGAATATAAATTTGGCTTCGCGCGCATTGTTGGCCTTAAATAACTGAATAGTGATTTTTCAGTTAACCTCTTTAATCAGCTTTTTGGTCGCTAAGGTTCTACCAGCATCATGCTGACAAGAGCTTGAAACCCTTACGTGGTTGATTTTTCTTGATGTATCAAGAAGTTTTATTTGGCCAAAATTACGAAATAATCAAATATCAACGATTGGTTGATATTTAGCCCAATAGATGGCGTGTCATCATTTAGCTTCAGTTATATGATAAGGATTGTTATAATAGCTTGTTTTAGAATAGTAATTATTTGACATGCTATTGCTCTTCTACAGGGTGCTCCAGGATTCACGCAAGAAGTACTTTTGATAGAAAATACAGGTTCATTATTGAATACTAGCCGAATGACCCGGGCAACGCCCGTGTTTTACCCGATTGAATGTTTTGATTCAAATACTATTTGTTACAATTATAAATTGTGGTCATGTGGCCTAGTGGTCATGGCATCTGCCCGGTAAGCGGAAGGTCGTGGGTTCGATTCCCATCCTTGACACTTTTTTTATTTTATCCATTCTGACCAAAATCTATCCGTGAACACAGTGTAATTCACACAGACAGAATAATGCAATTATATAAGTAGATGATTATTTCCCTTTTGATTCATAAAGTTTATAGTATAGAGTTATGTATGGAATAGTATATCTGGGGGATCTTTTCTTAAGGCTTTGATGGTGCAATCGTACTATTTTTTAAAAGTTTTCATGACGGATTACATAAATGCGGCTGAGTTTCGCCTAGATAGCGTTTAATTCCCTTCAAGACGTAGCTTATCTTGGTCTTGTTAGTATAAACATTCAAGACTTCAGAATTAACTCTTAATAAAAATGAAAAAGGAATTAAATCGCATGATCTCTAGGTGTTCAAATTTGGATCATCAAACTGTAAACTATACGACCAGGGATTGACTCACGCAGTATTTGAATTGTTTCCTTGAATATATGTATTGAGGCCATTTACCCTATATGCTATTCTATTCATAACCCTATATTGGATACACACACAAACACACACACTTTGTGAATCAATAGAAATTATATAATCTCTAATTATAAAATTATATTTTGTGTCCTCTGTCAAAATTACTTTTTGCATGAATGTTCAGATATTCTGTATAAGATGTTATTAGAAATAGATCTACGTGTCGTTTGCCTTTAAAATTGTTTTTGAAAATGCATATAAAAACAACACTGACAAGAAAATATTATAAAATGAAATGATTTAAAAGCACGAATGTTTCTTTTATACATTATACACATTTATACTGCCCTTACTGCTCTCCCAATATATTTTTCATCGCAGTAAGGGCAGTATAAATTTGTATTATGTATAAAAAAAACATTCGTGCTTCTAAATCCTTTCATTTTATATGTATAGATGGCGCGTTATTGCTTTGTGTTAAGAGAATATTATAAAAGATTAAATTTGAGAGAATATTAAAATCTTTTGCGACGCACGTCAAATATAAAGGTATTGCTATATATTGTGTTTGTTAGCGTGCGTATGTATATGTATTGTGATAAAGATAACAATTTCTATTAAAATGTAGAGTTTCGGATAATTTGAAGGATTCAAAGAATAAACTATCTGTTACACCCCAAGTAGACAAATTGGGTATGTGGACTAAACGATATATGCAAATTAGCCTGTTATCAGATTGATTTGCATATCTCAGAGTTGAGATTATATAATCATTGCACATTCCATACCTAACTCTATATGGTGTCATCAAGATAAATCAAATATTATGGAAATGTAGGCTCGGAACAAACGATATGTGAAAATTTCCCTGTTAAAGGATTATATGCATATCCCGGGGTTAAAATTTTGGTATTGACCATTATAGACGTAACTCTTTGTGGTGTCGAAGCTCCATAGTGATAGGTGAAATACTATGGAAATGTATTACAGAACAAACGAAATGTGAAAAATCAACTGTTAAAGGATTATTTGCATATCCCGGGGTTAAAATTATGATATTGACCATTACAGACGTAACTCTTTGAGGTATCAAAGCTCCATAGTGAAAGGTTGAATATAATAGAAATATATGCGTGAAACAAACGAAATGTGAAGATTTCTCTGTTAAATGACTTATTTACCCATTCCGGGGTTGAAACTATGGAATTGACCAATACATACGAAACTCTATGTGGTGTCAAAGTTCCATAGATATAGGTTGAATGTTATGAAAATGTATGTACGGAACAAACGAAATGTGAAAATTCCCTTATTAAAGGACTTATATACATATTCCTGTGTTGAAATTATGATATATACCGATACATACGAACCTCTATGTAGTGTCAAAGCTCCATAGATATAGGTAAAATTTCATGGAAACCTATATAAGGAACATACTCTCAAACTTTATATGTGCAAATATATGTTTCGGAATACAGTGCAATATACATTTTTTATTAAACAAGAATAAAGTGTATCTGGGATTTGATTGAAAGGTTTACTTAAAGATATTAAACGCAAAAATATCATTTTTCAAGCAGTTCACGAATCTGGAATGACTTATAAACAGCTTGACAAAAAAAAAGAGAGAGATTTTTGGTGTACTCAAATATCGCAATTATTTTGCTTTTTCAGAAACTTCTCAATCAATCCGATATACACCTCATTAGTTGGTTTAAAAGATCTATGATTATATTTATCAATAGATCTGATTTAATTCAAATAAGTATGCCGGAAAATATTATTTTTTCTAAATATTTTAAACATAGAAATAATCATAGGTTCCAATTGGGCGGGTGTATTCATTATTTAACACAAAGCAATAACGCGCCATCTATACATATAAAATGAAAGGATTTAAAAGCACGAATGTTTCTTTTATACATAATACAAGCTTCTACTGCCCTTACTGCGATGAAAAAATATATTGGGAGGGCTTGGCTCATCAGTGGTGAACCCTCCCAGCGGTTTCGCCAATTTGGACGATTCTGCTTATATACGCAGCACTGAAGAATGGAATCTCAGAAATGGTTTTCAAGAAAACTATGAATGTAATTCTACTGTCCTATAAGCTTATGTCCATAGTTTTCTTGAAAACCATTTCTGAGATTCCATCCTTCAGTGCTGCGTATATAAGCAGAATCGTCCAATACAGTATTAGAGCTCTGAGAAGCGGTTTGGTGGATTAAATTGGCGAAACCGCTGGGAGGGTTCACCACTGATGAGCCAAGCCCTCCCAATATATTTTTTTATCGCAGTAACGGCAGTAGAAGCTTGTAGTATGTATAAAAGAAACATTCGTGCTTTTAGATCCTTTCAGTTTTGAAGAAAAATATAACGCTAAACTAGGTTACCAATACTATATACTTTTGATTTTAAACGGATAGCTTAAGGCCGGTATCAGAAACCTTTTGAGTCAGGAGAGTTTAAAATTACAATTAGCTAAATTTCAATTTTTTTAAAGAGCCATAAATATTTTTCTGCCAACAATATATAGTAATAGCAGAGCAAGATAATAGGGAAATATATAAGAAATTTAATATGTTCTGCAGTCTTTTTATTATAAATAGACAGCTTCATGCAGCTTGAGGAACTACACTACTATGCGACTTGATTTACATCAATGTAAATAATTAATAAATTACTTTAGAATATAACTCATTGTAAATAGCTCAACTTGATCAACTTTCTCTCTCCACGATACTAATTATTACAGATAACTTCATTAAATCAACTTCCATCATTGCTTAACATTTTGTAAATAACTACCTTGAGGTTTCGTCTATCTTCTTATGTTGTTGCTTATTTGTTTAATATATATATGTTTATTCAATTATCTTTTTCAAACCTCCCTTTGAAAATTAAACGATTTATAGCCCGTCAAAGGATTCTATGGCTACTTTTCCGCGAGGATATCACGGGATTTTGGAACAGCGACCCTTTAAATTGCTACTTCTGCAATGTTGACATCCAAGACAATTTGGTCCACTATCTATTCCATTGCCCATTCCTACATGAAAAGAGACAGGAAATTCGCGAAATTTCGGGGCCAACTCACTACAATGAACAACATGTATATAAAATCTTCACTACTCTCCTGCTGGATAAAACATTTGTTTATAAATATTTTAAATATTACAAGGCGATTGATAAAATGAGAGAAGAAGTGCTCAACTCCACAGACAACGGCTGATTGCTCCCCCTTCCCTCTAAATTGCTTTTCCTCCTCACTCATGTACATATATAACTTTTTAGGGGAATCCCCTTGTAAGACAATAGTGTCTTAATAAAGGTTTTTGTTGTTGTTGTTAAATTATCTTTTTCTTAATTGTTTATTTTCTTTTTGACAATTCTGTTACCTACTCTACTACAATATGAATTATTGTGAATAGTTTCACGAGCAATTATCCAGATCGGTTATAAGCGTGTCTTATTTGCAACTGGTAATAAATAAATAGTATTAATTGATTTAAATCTACTGGATATTAATCAAACAAATGCTAAAGGTTTCTGGAGATGAGTTATCTTTATCTTAAAACACTCAATAAAGATAAAATAAACTATTAAGAAAAAGGCATCTACTTATCGTGCAACTGAAAGTTCCTGTTGGCTATATATATATAAGTAGATGCCTTTTTTAAGCCATCAGCAACTTTCAGTTGCACGATAAGTAGATGCCATTTTCTTAATTTATGCACCTTATCCCAGTACAATATTACATTTGTACTATTTTTTCACATAAAATAAACTGATCTCCAGAAACCTGTAGAATTTCTCTGATTCGAATAAATAGTATTCGCATGAAAATAGTTTTTATTTATGCGAGTACTACATGCAGCTTCACAAATGTTCTTTTTTCACAAATGTGCGATATTTATTTATAAATTATTATTTTTTTTTTTTTAGCTAAAAAATATGGTCAGGTTTAACGTCAACTACCTAATAGGTGGCGGTATAGTCACCATGGTGGGAGCCTTCCACTACTTCTGGTACCGGATACACGAGGACAAATTTCTCTTCCCAGAGTAATCACACAGAAAATCCCAAGAAGCTCCCCTTCGACATCCACTTGAAATCAGATCCTCCCGAATCCTATATGATGTACAAATGTCGCAGTTTCATATTGAAATAATGTAAATTAAAATAAAGTTATGATAATTGTTAATATTTTACACAAATAAATTTACTGGCAATGCGTTTCTTTTAAATATCATCAAATATTTCTCTACAGACCTTACTGCAATGATATGAGTTATTGAATGAGAGGGCTTGGCTCTTCAGTAGTGAACCCTCTCAGCGGTTTCGCCAAATTAATCTCTAGACCGCTCTACTATTGTATAGGATTGGTTTGGAATATACCCTGTATTTTCTATGGAAGGCAGCTTAGGGGTGTTTAGTGAACTATGGGGGGACATAAGTTTATATCATTATATCAATAACTCATATCATTGCAGTAAGGTCTGTAGAGATAATATTTGATGATATTTAAAAGAAACGCATTGCCAATAAATTTATTTGTATAAATATTAACGATA